AAAAAAAAAAGTCAGAATTGCAAGATGTACACTCGCAATTGCGAAAAAAAAAAGTCAGAATTGCGAGATGTAAACTCGCAATTGTGAAAAAAAAAAAGTCAGAATTGCGAGATGTAAACTCAAAATTGCGAAAAAATAAGGGAGCATATTAAATTTGATTGTGTTTTAAATGAGTAAAAATTCTTACTGACAAATGGGCAAAACCTAGGATAGTGACAAATTAAAAAAAAAAATTAAATTACAACTAATTAGTATTTGGGGTGAAAGTAATTCGTCTTTTAATGTGTCATAAACTGATTTTTGTTGTAAATATGCCTGACAAGATTGTTACACTGAATGACATTTTAGTGGGTGTCTTCTGTAAATCAGGGAAAAATGTATGATATTTATTTTTTGCTCTGAAAAACAAACTTTTTAAATTTTTTGGGGAAAAACAACAACAATTTAAAGCAGTATTACACCTATTGTTTTTATGCTTAAACCCTTTTTCATCTTTGACCCATATGCTATGGAAGCCAGTTTTTGCCACTAAATAAAAATAAGAAAAAGGTAATTGTGACATTTTATCTTGACTTTTTTCTCAGAATTGCATGATATAAAGTTGCAGTTCTGAGAAAAACTGCAAGATATAATTTTTTTTCTCTCAGAATTGTGAGACATAAACTCACAATTGTGAGTTATAAAGTCAGAATTGTGTAATATAAACTTGCAATTACGAGAAAAAAAGTCAGAACTGCTTGTTTATATCTCACAATTCTGTAAATTTTTTTCGTAACAGTGAGTTTACATCTCACAATTCTGTCTTTTTTTCTCAGAATTGCATGATGCAAACTCGCAATTCTGACTTTCTAACTCGCAAATGCAAGCTTATATCACATTTCTGAGAAAAAAAGTCAGAATTGCGAGATGTAAACTCGAAATTGGGAAAAAAAAAAAAAAAAAGTCAGAATTGCGAGATGTGCAATTGCGAAAAAAAAAAAGTCAGAATTGCGAGATGTAAACTCGAAATTGCGAAAAAAAAAGTCAGAATTGCGAGATGTAAACTCGCAATTGCGAAAAAAAAAAAAAAGTCAGAATTGCGAGATAAATAGATGCAATTACCTTGTTTTAACTTTTTTTCAGTGGTGGAAACAGACTTCCATAATATGCATATGATTAGAAACATAAGCGGATGAGTAGACCATCCTGAGCTTGTTTTTATGTGAGTCTGATGTAGATATATATAATGAATAATAAAGTCTTAGCTATCAGTTTATGATATTTCTAAATCAAAACATAAGTTTTCAAATGGACACGGAAAATAAAATGACTGGAACAGCTGTGCCAAAAATTGTAACGGTGTTCGTCAAGTAAAGATGTGCATCATTCGGATCATAATGTGAGCCATCTAGTGTTGTTGTGTCATAACGTGCCACATGTCTGGTGTAGAGACAGTGCAAGAGTGCAATACTTACGTGTCGTAGACATTGAGCAGCCAGTTGAGACACATGTCCACACAGAGCGGGACGTTGACCAGGTCTTTGTGCTCCTGCTCCAGTCCGTCATACACAGACGTCAGGCAGTTGATGACCTCAGGAACCGTCAGCTGCTGGGAGTTTACCGTCAACTTGTGCTGCTGGAACATGGACTGAGCCACACTCAGATCCAACAGATCCACTGAGACATAGAGAGAGACAATGTTGGTCTTCACTGAACTCAAAATCATGTGCAAGACTAATTCACCATTGGTCCCTTGAGATATTCCTATGGGGTTTTATGATGGGGCTTATGAGTCAAATAAAGCCTGTGGTACACATAACTTGACGATACTTGGACGTTTTGTTCTACAACATAAATTGCAAACACCTTATGTACAGTAGTTAACATGTTTTCAAAAATAAACATAACTGCTTCAAAATTTGGTTTGCAGTATGTGTGTAATTTAAGTTGTATTGTAAAATGTTCAAGTATCAGTTTCATTCATTTTATAAAATGTTCAATTTATATTTACCACAGACTTCATTTTACTCATATATTGGAAAACTCAATTATAAAAATCCATAGGAAAATCTTCAGGGAACCAATGGTGAATTAGAGGAGTCCTAAAAATCAGAAATGAGTTTTGCACCGTCTTGAAGTCAATGGGTTTTTGGTTAAATGCCTGAAGTAACACAAGCTTAAGATATGTTCATGTTTTATCCTACAACATAAAATACATCAGTAAATCAACCTCAGGACTGTTTTACTTGTCTTGAAAAAGGCGACTGCTAACAAGGGTCTAAATGGGACTACACTATTTGTTAGGACATTAAACATCACAAACAGAAAAAAAGAAACGTACACTCACACTCTTACAAACTATTCTAATGCAAAGTTTCAGGGAAGATGCTTTATTAATATAGACTGAAAGAGTTGTTGGAAGTCATGTGAGCATGGTGTAGTTCATTTCTAGCCTTCGATTAGTTTTTTACTTCCGGCAATTCTTTTTAGGCTTTAAAAGTTCTGTTCATTTCTCGAGATTGTCTTGATTAACAAAACCTGTAAGAATCATAATACATTAGCCATTATTAGGATAATCATTGCATATATATTGCATTTATTTAATATATGCACAATTCTTTGTGGGCAGAGCTACGGAAATAGAAACTAGAAGAGAAATAGAAGCTTCTGACGAAATGTCTTGTTAGTGTTCACAGCCGGTTAAGGCAAACGTACAGATTAACATGGAAGTTTTATTGCTTGTCACTTCATCGCGTCACGCTCTGTTAGGACACTGTGTCAGTGTCTGAACGATCAACACTATTCATCTTTGATGGAGCGATGGATGCCATATTCCCTGTTTACACTTTTTAATGAGACCAATTAACAACTCAAGAAACAAACACATGCAAATGAAGAGGACGTGAGGCATGGAGGCAGAGGAATGAGGAGATCACGTACACACACGCTCCTAACTCATTCTCTTTGTGCGGTTAATTGGGCCTCTCTGAGTTAATTGAGCCGATGGAGTGAGGCGATGCAAGCATGCAGCTCTAATCATATAACACACACACACACACACACACACACACAGACTTACAGCAGAGGGCTTTCTGCAGCCGGCGGATCTTCATAGCCGTCCTGTACGCGGAGAACCGCACGTTGTTGAGGTCAGCTAAAAAAAACAGAAGAGAAAGCGCTAGAAAAGTAAACACAAAGGCTGTAAACTGAACTGCCTTGAACTGAGTCAGAATAGGAATGTTCAATGTTATTTTTTAATGATTCGTGACATGTGAAAACCATAAACAGCACACCATCTGACACAATCTACATTCACAAACTGAACTTGACAACAGAGTTATAAACAGCAGCATTTCATTAAATATTTCACAACAACAAGGACATAAAATGCAAAAAAAAAAAGGTCTGTGTTAATGAGTGTGTATACAAGTATGTAACAGTGTAAGAAAAGCGCTATATAAATGTAATGAATTATTATTATTATTATTTTACAAGAGCAAAAGCAACTCATATTTTCCACAGATATCCTAAACGTTGAGCACGTTTCAAGTTTTTCCTCCAAAGTTTGCATTTCTGTTAACTCAAGTATTAAAGCTATCTTAATGCCCTTTTAGATATTGGGTCTTAACAGACTTTCCTTTTGGCATCTTCATTTTAAGGCCTTATATGGTCACAGAAAAGAACTTGAAACATGCTTTTTCACCTTTTTTTGAATGGGCACCATTGGCATGTAAATGCAATAAAGATTGCTGAAGTCAACAGATTTTACTAACAGACCTCCCAGTCTGTTTGTAAAAATATAATGCTGCCATTTTTGCCCTCATTTTTACTCCCCTGTAATTCGGCTCTGAATCGCAGGTGAAAATGGGCATTTTGAACCCCTTCAACAAAATAGTGGATTACTCTGTAAATATACATTCATGACAATTCATATTTTGGCTTTCATCGCTATACATGTTTTTCTTTCTTCAGAATAAATATTGACAAAATCTAAAATTTGAGCGAGGGAAGTTTCTGAAATTTGGTTGATTTGACACAGAATGACCCAATTACATTCTTAGATAAAATTTTAGAAAAATACCTCTGTAGGTCTATACAATGCCAGTGAATGGTGACCAAAACTCTGTTTTGATTTAATCAGTATCGATCCTGCTCCTGAAGGTCCACTTTCAACAGCACAGTTTAACTCCAACCTGCTGTGGAATGAGCAGGACTGGAAAAACAGTATGTACACTATAATGTAATTTCACCATACAACGTGTCGCTGCAAGCTCATGATTCAAGCTTGCCATCTTAGCATTTGATGCATGAGCAGAGCTAGATGGTGCGAGGAAGTGTAATCAAGCTTGAAATCATGTTTGCCAAAATGACTGCGGATTTCATTTATAAAATTTATAAAATAGGACACATTTTGGTCCGTCCTCAGCACAAAACTGATTAGATCGGTTCATAAAATGTGCATTAAACCACTGTTATGTTGCCTTTACGTGCTTTTTTGAGCAGCAAAGTTGGTCAACATTCACTTTCATTGTTCCTTCAGAGCTGAAATATTTCTGAAATAATCTAAAAGTTTGTGTTCTGCAGGAGGAGGGAAGTCACACATCTGGGGTGGCATGACAATTTTTATTTTTGCATGAACCAATTAAGAATTAACCAACAAAAATGTCATGCTGAATAATGTCTGGAGTGGATCTAATCTTGAGGCCAACACCACATTTCAAAGTTTCACACAGTAATACCAGTAAATTGCTGTAAAATTACCGGAACGACTTTACCGGTAAATACAAAAATGTGCTGTTCAGGCAACGGCGTTCCATCTTTTTACCGGTAAAGCACCATGCACACATCGGTTTCAAATTACTGGTAAATTCTGTGACATCATTAACCAGAAATGACCTCTAAACGGCTGTGCGTCCCGGTGTTGTGTTTGTCAACATGGAGGGGTGTATGCGGTCAGTGTTTCTGAAGATGTTTTCATTTTTGTGTCAAATGTTCACATTCATGCAGCTGCTTTTGGCCCAGAGACATCCTATCAGATGACTTTTCTTTGACTGTCCTAAACAGCACGGAGTACATGCATCAACTGCATCAGAATGCTCTGATTGGCCCAGAGAGGAAGTCTTACGTGAGCGTGTTCTGAACTCGATGTGCTCATACTGGTAATCTTGTGCTGCGTTCACACAGAGCACATTACCGGTCATTTTACAACTTCTCATATTTTTGAAAAGGTACGGTTCACACATGATCTCTTAACATTCATTTACAGGTAATTTACCAGGAAAGACTGTATGTGTGAAAGGGGCTTATGCCTGACTGAGTTCCTGTTTAGCAGAGACAGACATGGCAGCTCCTGAGGGATGCTGGGACAGAGGCTGTCAGCAGGTGTTGAGGGAACCTCGTCATCTCATTCATGACTCATTCACATGTTGATGAGAGGTTCTCTCCACTCCGCTGCTATTGCCGGATGGCTCAAACTGAGCCGGAGACACCTGCAGCTTTAAACAGACCCTGATGGATGTTCAGGGCTCAGCTTTACTGACGCATGCAAGGAGCCAGGTGATGGCGGATGATTGTTCTGTCACACAAATTGATTTTCAGCAGGATCAGTGAGGAACGCGGTGTTCAGGGATGTTTGGACGTCTGTGCTCTGGGCCGTAATTGAACTGGTTACTGCAAACAGCTGAAATAAACAACTACAGCAGGACAACAGCGAAGAAGTGTCATCATCTACAAAACCACGGTCAGCTGCCTCACTGTCTACAGCTATATTCTGTTAAGGGTTTGTATCTCAATTCCAGCAAGTGCTGCAGTGAAACGGCTACTTACACTAGCATTCATGGGGTTGCAATGTTTTTGAAAGAAGTCTCTTATCATTAGCAAGGCTGCAATTATTTGATAAAAAAATACATTAAAAACAGAAATATTGTGAAATATTACAATAAAAAAAAAATCTATTTGAATATATAATAAAATGTAATTTATTCCTGCGATCAAAGTTGAATTTTCAGCATCATTACTCCAACAGTCTTCAGTGTCACATGATCCTTCAGAAATCTTTCTAATATACTGATATGCTGATGAACATTTTTTCAGGATTTTTTTTTATTAACAAAATGCTCAAATGAGAACAGCATTTATTTAAAATAGAAATCTTTTGAAACATTTTTAATTGTCTTGACTGTCACTTTAAATCAATTTAATACCTAAAAAAATAAATATTTTTTTCATAAGAAAACAAAAAACTGACCCTATATTTTTGAAAGGTAGAGTAAATGTTTAAAGCACAAAGAGAGAAAAAATAAAAATAAAATTATATATATATATAAAAGCTTGGTTACATTCTGCATCCTGAGCAGCAGGCAGAGGTTTACAGTACAGGATGTGAGAAGTGTTTCACTGACAGCGCTGAGCTGCTTACAGGATTAGCTGCTGCTCTCTCATCTCAGCACACACACACACACACACACACACACACACACTCTC